TAGAGATGTGGGCAGGCACTTATGAGCAATACCATGACTTCCTTGCATCTCTGCTTCTAGGACATCCCTTTAATCCCATCAATCTCCTGAATAAAGGTGTATGCAATGTGATTTCATCCCTCATCTATGCCCATCGCTTTGAGTATGAAGACCCTTTCTTAAACAAGCTGCTCAAAATATTACAGGAAAGTTTTGGAGAGGACTCTGGCTTCATTGCTGAGGTATGAGTCTCAGGGTAATGTGCATGGCTACTTCTATGCTGGAAATCCTATCAGAATAATTATGCATTCAGGTGAATGGGGTGAAGGTCTATTGTGAGAGTCAAATGCAGGAGGAAAGGCCTACAGGTTGTCAAACCTCAGATAACAGGAGGGGAGGAGTGGACAAAGGTCAGGGGCTCTAGGAAGGGAGTGACCTCTGCCCCCTGTCTACATGGAAACGGCACAAGCCTCTTAGATTTCCAGTAGAATAGTCATTTTGTTTATCTTGGGTTACAAGACAGCCAAGAGGCTGGAATGGTTGAAAAGCAGGTTATGGGTGGGAACAATCAGATCCTTAGTCCTTTGTGGAAGAAACTAGGATCTGTGACCGGTCCAGGTGAACAGTGAGCAGAAACAGCATCCAGGGGCAAGGGATAGATGGTCAATGGGTAAAGGAACTTACCAAGTAAGCCTGGAGATCTGAGCTGGATCCCTGGGACCCATGTGGGAGATGGATCTTACTCTATAATATTCTACGACTACCAAACAGGAGCCATTGTGTATGTATGAGTGTATATGCAGGCGCACACACACACACACACACACACACACACACACACACGATTCTTCATTAGCTGTAAAAGCAACTAGACTGTTGTGTTTCTTTCCCAGGTGCTGAATGCTGTCCCGGTCCTTCTTCGCATCCCTGGGCTGCCTGGCAAAGCCTTCCCCAATACAACAGCATTGGTAAACTCACTGGATAAGATGTTGATTGATCACAAGACATCCTGGGACCCCGCTCAGCCTCCTCGAGATCTGACAGATGCTTTCCTGGCTGAGATGGAGAAGGTGAGGACAGCCATAAAGATGGGGCCAGTGCTTTTTGGCAGAAGTGTTCTGACTTGTGATGCCATGTCACCCATGGACCCATCACTTGAGGTGCATGAGGTAGATCATGTTGGCCTTTCTGCCTGTGTCCCTGAGCCTACCTTCTCTGTCTGTTCCAGGCCAAGGGGAATCCCGAGAGCACCTTCAATGATGCGAACCTACGCATGGTGGTGTTTGACCTGTTCACTGCAGGGATGGTGACCACCTCAACCACACTGTACTGGGCTCTGCTGCTCATGATCCTGCATCCCCATGTGCAGAGTGAGCCTGGCTGGGACTGGGAGGGAAGGTGAGGGAAGAAAGAGAGAGGTGCTTGAGAAATTCCTGGCTCCAGCACCACCTTGACCAGGACTCACATAAGTCTGATAAAAATCTATAGTTACCTATTGACCCATGGGAGAAGGTCAGGGAAGAGCCACCAATGAACTGCTTCACTGAGGGGATGCTGTCCCTCCAGGCCGCGTCCAACAGGAGATTGATGAAGTCATAGGGCAGCGGCGGCATCCAGAGATGGCAGACCAGGCCCGCATGCCCTACACCAATGCTGTCATTCATGAGGTCCAGCGATTTGCAGACATTACCCCAGTGAATTTACCACACATGACATCCCGTGACATTGAAGTACAGGGCTTCCTCATCCCCAAGGTATGCATGGGGTCCCTTATCCCAGGGTCACCACTAGGCAAACAAAGGCTACTAAAACCAAGACCACCACATCCTGAATTTGCACATGGTGATGGGATCAACCTGGGTGTGAGTATACAGCAGCCATTGTCCAGGATCCTCCAGGGAAGAGGGATGTCCAAGAAAATAAGCCATGGGGATTTTAGGGAACACTACACACATAGGCAGGTTTAATTTGGGTACCCATGGGAGCTTTGTCATAGGGCCTTGACTGGTACCAGAAAAGGTACTGAGAGGACCTGAGGTTGAGGTGAATCAAAGATTCCAGTGTGTGCATGAAGAGATTATTTATGCTTGTGAACTTGGTGACCTGGGTCATGTTGTTGCTGTCCCAGTCCATGTTTACACTATGTGTCTCCTGCCAGGGAACAACCCTCATCCCCAACCTGTCCTCCGTGCTGAA